ATGACATCATAATGAGTATTGTCTATGAATTATATGTGACCGTGGCAACAGATACTGAACCCAGTAGAGCAGTAGAGTGCTGTGGGAAAGGCAGAATTGATAGTGGAATAGGATACTAACATTTGGAGAAGTGGAGACATGTCTGCCCTCTGTCTCGTAGGAGTCATTCTTGGCCAGACATGGAGTGGAATTTTCCTTGCCCCTAGTGAACCAGAGCAGGTCAGATGTGGCCTGGGGGTAAAAAGCAGCATTCTTCGTTTTCGCCACTAAGTCGTAGACGTTGGTTAGTAAGCTCTGCCTCGGACTGGGTGGAAACTTAGGAAGCCTGTGAGGCTGTTAAGTGCAAAACAATGAAACTATAACCTCTACTTCATCCACTGTTAGTAATCAAGCAGACATTTTCATTGCCGTCGCACTTCTCAGTTCCTCAATCTATATTTCAAATTTACAGATTGTAAGAGGGAAAGTAATTCGCCACTTTTAAAATGCCTTTTCAAAAAATAGGGTTTGGGACTTAGAACATTCATAACTAATAGTGTCTGTATAAAAGCATGCTTTTCTTTTCATTGGGTCTATATTTCAGGTTATTATCTATAAAATACATTTATATTTTGAAAATGAGTTAATTTTTAATTATAGAACAATACAGGTAATACAGAGCTATAGTAAAAATCCTGAAGGTGACACTTAAGGCAGCATTTCTCCACCTGTGGGTCGTGACCCCACTGGGGGTCGAACGACCCTTTCACAGGGGTCGCTCGATTCATAACAGTAGCAAAATGACAGTTTTGAAATAGCAACGAAAATAATTTTATGGTTAGGGAGTTGCCACCACATGAGAAACTGTATTAAAGGGTCGCGGCATTAGGAAGGTTGAGAACCACTGACCTAAGGGAATAAAATTTAGAAAACACTGAGATTCTTTCTAGGATTTTGTCTAGATTTAAATTCCTTTCAATATGTATTTCTGAAAGAATAGAAAACGTTATAGAATATAAACTGATTAAGAGAAGGAACTTCCAGCATAGAATACACTGTTCTTTTCTTTGGCTTTGGTATATATGAGTATTAGGGAGTTAAACTTTCATTCCATCCCTTTTAGAAGGTGTTTCAGGGTAATCTTTGTCTCCGTCTTGTTGTAAGCAGCTGGCTGGGAAGCCCTTCGTGGTAGCGTCTGTGGTGGTGGTGTCTTCCTTTTTCCCCTGAAAGACTTTCTTTCTCCCACTGAAAGCCATCTAGTTCTGGTCGGGGTTTTAAACCACAAGCCTCTTGCAAATATTACTTGAAGAGAAGAGCCTTGTCTACTCTTAGGCTCTGAATCTTGGCCAGTTACTAGCACCGTGTTGAACATTTCAAGGAATGAGA